CCCGATGCTGGGAAAAGCCTATGCCCGTCGGTTCCTGCATCACTGCGCGCCCCCCGCTCCCGCGTGCTGTCTGTGCTGCCCTGCTGCCTGTGGCCGGAGGGCAGGCAGGGGACCTCTGACGGGGCCAGGCTGCCGGAGGCAGGCTCTGGCCGGGACGAAACTCACCGGCGAAGGTAGCGCACTCCTAGGAAACTACAACTCCCAGGAGGCGTCTGCTCCGATGGCGTCACTTCCTCTTGTACCCACTTGTTTCCTCCTCCTTCAGCTAATGGCAGTTTAACAAAAGCCTCCTCCGCCCAATCAGGAAGCGCTGGCCCCGCACTGGCCGCTGGGAGATGGAGGCCGGGGCAACTATATAGCCCACAGGCCACGGCGGCGCCCTCCGCCCTTCCGAGCGCCCCAGGGCCCGTCTCCGCAACTCCAATCAAGCCCCCGCTCTGACGCTCCAGAAAGTGAATTGACCCCCTCCCGGGACAGTTCTGTCCGGTGACCACGCCCTGCCCCTCCCTCCACTGCGATGTGCCCCCTCAGCCCCTTGTTAATGAAGGGCAAGAGCCAGGTACGGGCAGCAGCAGCGCTTACTGTGTGTGCTCGGTTGCAGTACGCATGCTCAGTACGCCCGAGTTGTGCCTGGGTCCTGCTTGGGACCGTGGGCTGGAGGTGGTGGTGGGAGATCAGGAGCTGGATCCCTGGGAGAGCACCTGAGGGGGGAGCAGGCAATGAAGTGATTTCAGAGGAGGAAAGTGAGGCAGATGCCAGCCAAGAAAAGCAAATTTGATGGGGGAGGAGCTAAGGTAGGAATGTTAAATATGAAGTAGTCCAGTGTTTAACTTTTCTTTTTATAAAGTACCCCTTTATCTCAGTGGCATGCACCTACCAAATTGCTCACATCCTCTGAAGCAGGCCATAGGCGGCAGAGAGTGGGACTAATGGGCTGTGACTCAGCCTCTCAGCCAGTGATATAGAACAGTGGTTTTCAAAGTGCTTTCTGTGGACCACTAGTAATTCATGTCCGCTTCCAGGTGGTCAATGGCTCAAACTCAGCACTCCCCCCCCTCCAATCCCATGCAGCGAGAAGCCCAGGTTGCTTCTGCAACCTCACAGTTGTTGCACAGCTGTGAGGCTGCAGCACCAGCTCCAGCTTCCTGCTCAGAGGGCATGGGTGGGGGCAAAGAAAGCCTGATCTTCCTTCTGTGCAATAAGAAAATGGAGCAGCAGCACACGAAGGAGACAGAAGCTAGAGGCCTGGTAGCTGGGCAAGAAGATGGGGCAGTGCCAGCACCAGGAGCTTTTCCAGCTCCATGCCATCTGGCTGCAGGTGAAGTAGTGAGAAGCCAAGCTGCTGTGCAGGTGCTGGGTGTGACTGGAGAAGAGACGGGCTGAGCTCACCAAGCCCCAGCAGCTGGGTAGGCTTAGGCATGAAGAGTCCAACCTTGAGGTGCAGCTGAGCACATAGTTGGCCGAGTCCCTGCGGACACTGAAGCCCAAAGACAGGATCTTATGTGACCTGTTCAAGAGTCTGTAGAAGAGGAACCTGACTGAGCCCAGGGATGGAGCCAACTACAAAAGGAAATACCAGAGAGCCTTCCTCAAGGGTCACGTAGTAGGGCTGTCCAGCTCCATCTGTTTGTACCAAGAATCTTATTAAAGCCCTGGACATCTCCTCTCAAACAATGAAGACAAAAGCACACCACCTTCCCCCCAGCTCACTGCACACAGAGCCGCTTTCTCTGCCTCTCTCCGTGAGCCAGGTCTGGTGGGAAGGTTGGGGTGTTCTTCACCCCACACTCTGAGTGGGAAGCCAGACCTGGTGCTTCAGCCAGAATATAGGCGAGAGGATAATTCCAGGAGTGGGTGGGTGAGATTCTGTGGCTTGCATGGTGCAAGGGGTCAGACTAGATGATCATAATGGTCCCTTCTGACCTTAAAGTCTATGGCTATGTCTAGACTGGCATGATTTTCCGGAAATGCTTTTAACGGAAAAGTTTTCCGTTAAAAGCATTTTTGGAAAAGAACGTCTAGATTGGCATGGATGCTTTTCCGCAAAAGCACGGAAAAGCGTCTGTGCCAATCTAGACGTGCTTTTCCGCAAAAAAGCTCGGATCGCCATTTTCGCGATCAGGGCTTTTTTGCGGAAAACAAATCTGAGCTGTCTACACTGGCCCTTTGGCGCAAAAGGACTTTTGCCTGAACGGGAGCAGCACAGTATTTCCGCAAAAAGCACTGACTTCTTACAGTAGGAAGTCAGTGCTTTTGCGGAAATTCAAGCGGCCAGTGTAGACAGCTGGCAAGTTTTTCTGGAAAAGCGGCTGATTTTCCGGAAAAACTGGCCAGTCTAGACAGAGCCTATGAGAATATGCTCCCTGCTCCGTTGGGGAGCAGGGGCAGCTAAGCTACCTCTGTCCCACTCTGCTGAGGAAACGGCAGTGCAGTGACATGTTGTCTGGAAGCTTTCCCACTGCTCGATTGGACAACCAATGGGAGCGAGGCGCAAAGCCAGATAAGTGTCCCCCCCCCCATGCCCAGACCTGC